GCTTTACATTTAAAACAGGAAAGTGTGCTGCTCTTGGAATACACTGTTAGAAATTAGCAACAGGTTAAAGCACAAATGTTCTAAGAGATTTTTTTTTTTAAAGTGAGGATCATTGGAAATTTTACGACATAGGATTAGCACCATTACCTAAAATCTAAGCAATGATTTAAAGTGAGAGTAAATGTGATAATCCAAGTTTCAAATTTAAAAGCAAAACACATATTAAACTACAATATCAACCTACTTGGAAAAATCAAAACATGAGATTTTTATTCATCATATGGCAAACTCACTTTCCAGTTGAGAATCTTTTTACATCAGAAATAGAAGAATTTATATTAGACACTGGTTATAAAAATATGGCATGATCTGATGCATACCTGATACATTAATTCACGAGCTTTTCAGTTCTTTTAGCCACTCTTTCATCCATTTAGTCTGCTTCAGAACCAGCAATAAAACCCAGGGGTCTGAACTTTACTTTTAGTACAATAAGGCAGCTGCCAACTAAAACTGGCCCTGATTAACCGCACAGAGGTAAAACCAGACCACACTTGCACTCAAACTTTCATTTTAAATCATAAAGGCAGCTATTCATTATAGTTTTCCTGCCTAGCAGTTCTCATACAGTAGATGGGTCCAAAAGTGTAGACTGTCCTTTTGATTGCCTTCCCTGAAGAGATCCTATTTCACTCAATTCAATATTTATTAAACAACTAATATATGCAAGGCACTGAGCTATGTAAAGATAAATATATATTTATCCTGAGGGAGCTTAAGCTCTACTAGAACTAACATTTAATCCAGTCACTGAAAAGTGAGGTGTACAACAGTGAGTACCCTTAAAGAAGCAAAGAAGTATTGTACCAGAGTACAAAGGAAGAAAAGATTACTTCAGTTTTAGAAGAAAAGTTTCAATGGAAACTCACTTAAGGGGCTTCCCTGGTGGCGCAGTGGTTGAGAGTCCGCCTGCCGATGCAGGGGACACGGGTTCGTGCCCTGGTCAGGGAAGATCCCACATGCCGCGGAGCAGCTAGGCCTGTGAGCCATGGCCGCTGAGCCTGCGCGCCCGGAGCCTGTGCTCCGCAACGGGAGAGGCCACAACAGTGAGAGGCCTGCATACCGC